TGTCAATAAGGCCAGTTTCTACATTAACATCAGCCTGAAGGTCCTGCCTGATAGCCCAGCCATGCAGACATTTACCAAGCCTCAAATGAGGCAAACTGGCACATGCAGCAAGAAGGGATGACAGAGTTACTGCATTCGGCTTTACACCTTCAAGCTGCATCCTTTGAGAAAACCATAGTGCATTTTTTATGTCACCATCTGAAATGAAACCGTGGATCATTGTAGTCCAAGTAACCACATCTCTATCTATCATCTTCTCAAAAACCAACCTTGCTTCATCTATTCTTCCACACTTGACGTACATATCAACGACAGCATTCCGAACTGACAAATTGTCCCAAAAACCTACTTGTTCAATCAGTGAGTGAACCTCTCTGCCCATCTCAAAGTCCTTCAGACACCCACACGCAGGCAACACGGAAAGCACAGTGGCACAATCAGCGTCAACACCAGCATCTTCCATTTTCCTGTAAATCATTAGGGCCTCCTTAGGACTATCATTTCGGCAATACCCACTGATCATAGTATTCCAGGTCACAACAGTTCGTACCTGCATTGCTTCAAAGACCCTCCTAGCAGCCTCTTTATCTCCACAACTCAAATACATAGACAAAAGTGAATTTCCCACAAAAGTATCCCACATATGCCCACTTATAACAGTCAACCCATGAATAACAACACCCTGCTGAAGTAAGAACAAATCACTGCACGCCCTAATTGCATAAGGAAATGTATGCCTGTCAGGCTTGTGTTTATCCGATTGCAACATTTCCCCGAAGAGTTTGAGGGCAATGTTAGGGAACCCCTTCTGGGTGTACATTCTTATCATGGACCTGTATGACAGCAAAGTTCGTTGAGGCAATTCATCGAACAGTTTGCGAGCGTAGGAAGTGTGACCACAGATTGCATATGCTGCTGTCAGGAGAGAACGCAAATGGGTCGAGCTGATGGATTGTAGGAGCCCGAGTGTAATGGTATGAGCATGGACTCCCTTGGTGGTTCTTAAAGATTTGATTTTGGCGCAGTGTTCTAAGAGAGACTTGCATTGCTCTGCTGCTGTAGCTGTTGTTTCAACGACTCGTTTTAGGTGCGTCAATTTCTTGGACAGTGGCAAAGATGGGCCATTCATGAATTACAACATATGTCTTTTCTGCGCAACAAGCAAAGCAATTCACCTCTTATCTTAATTTTGGTCTTCTCTGCGGTTATGGTAGGTCAGTTTGTTGGTTAAACTAGATGGTTATTTGCAAAACAAACATAATGCTCCTATTATACCAAAAGAGGATTTTTTGCTCATCAAAAATTAACTCAAACCAACTTTTTTAAAACATAAATGGCACAGAATAGTATCTTTTTCGAAAAAAAAAGGTTTTACACAGAAAATTTATAGTCAAAAGTTAATATAAATTGATCATCGACAAGTAAATTTGCTTCACTTTTGGATCAATCATCTCTTGATTATCTTATAGATTGACTCCCTTCAAGTAACTTCAAGATATAAACTTTTTTGACTTTCTGGAGCTTTTTCCATGTAAGTATGTTTATGCATCCTCAACATTCATTAACAACAAGAGATGGAAATAAAATGTATTTCTAGCTTTGGGGACAACAAATTTTCTGAGAAGTATGATTTATTTCATTAGTTCAAATGACACTTAATTCTCCAGGAAATAGCCACCTGTTAATTTATGTTGAATAAAATGTGACATCTTGTTAACTCTTCAACAATCATTCATTAAAGACCCCAGAATAAGGGTCCATTACACCAAAAGATCTCCCATACATAACCACAATGACAGAAGAAAACATCTAAATTTAGTACTTCAAAACAGGTGAACTCTCCATATCAAACCTAACAATACTCATCTAGACAATCATTACTAACAATTACAAACAATTCGCAAGAATGGCAGAAGCCTAACTTCCACCATATTGTTAATGCTCAACAGGACCTGTAGGAGAGCAAAGTTCAAATCTTGATCCTGTTGGGAACCTATTCAATTGTCAACTATTTTGACACCCTTTTTCCTGTTGATATAATCAGCAGCTCTAGCTTCCATCTTCAAAGGCATAGGTGCTGAGAACACGGAACTTTCATTTTCGTGCTCATTAATATCATTCTCATCTCTCACATTCCTTTCATAATAGCCATCCTTTCTTGAAACGTAATTTGGATCCATTTCATTATCACTACTTCCACTAGACCCTCCATCTCCTTCCTCATCACCTTCACAACCCTTGGATGCCATGCCAAGCTTTTCAACTCTTTCACTAAGGTTTTTTATCAGCTCTTTCTCAGAATCAAAAGTTTCTTGCTCATTAACATTCCCCATTGAAGCAGGCTCCATGGTACTATGGAAGGATCGGTAAGCATCTCCATTCTCTGCAAAGGTCACTGATTTCCTTTGTTTGGGTTTAACCCCACCATAACTCCTGGCCAAACCACCACCCCTAGTTCGTAAAACGCCAGATTTTCTAGTATCAGAGAACCTAGGGCTTTGGTGATCTTCCTCCTCCTCCTCTTCCTCTTCAGATTCCTTCACTGATGCAACGAATTTGTCAACGGCTCCATTAAAATTTGTGTCAAATTCTATTTTACGGTCACTGGAAAAGACCCTAGCTTTGTTTCCACCTCTCACATTCTTCACTACTCTACTTGAGAATATGGAAACTCCATTAATCACCTTCATAAATCGAGTCAGTTCGTTGCTTATTGACCTTTTACCATCTCTGATTAACGGATCATCGCCCTACAAAATAAAAAACCCTTTTTCAACATTTGCCCAACACGCTAGGGTTATTATAATAAGCGTATAATTGCAAGTAGAGCTTAATTACCTCAATAGAATCAAGTCTAACGAGTAAATCCGTCGCTCTGTGAGAAACAGCTCGAGTATCAAAGTGTGTTTTACCAGAAACTGACGATTTGAGAACATAGAGAGTTGTTTTGATGGAAGCCAACTGCTTCAGCTGTCGAAGGGTTCTCGATCTACGAGCAAGGAAGGCTCTGAAATGGGTCTGAATAGTACGCGCTGCCGCATCGCGTAAGGTTTGACGAGAACGAGAAGAAACAGAAGGAGAAGAGGAGCTCCGGCGGAGGGAAGATTCTAAGGCAGCGATCCGACGAAGAAGAGATGTAACGATTCGTTGGGTTTGTTGGTCTGTTACTTTGTTGGCTTGATTATTCAATTCTTGAAAATGATGATGATTTTGGTGAACGTTTTCACATTGGCATTGGGTATGAGAGGGCGGCGGCGATGGTGGTGGTGGGACTAGATGAGAAGTACAGAAGTGAGGCTGTGGAGGGGGGTAGTGGGTATAAGGGGGAGTGGAGTGTGGATTTAGGGGTGGAGGGTATGGTGAGGGGGTGGGGTGACAAGAGTAGCAGTAACAGATGGTGGTGGTGGGGGTGGTTGCGGCCGCCGTAGGG